GTTACAGCTTTGTCCTAATCCCTGGGTTAATACAGCTCTGTTGGAGTGTAGTTCTCACATGGGAACTGCCCTGGAAGTGGCAGCAGCGCTACAGGTCTCCCTGCCTACGTGAAAACTTAACGATGTAACTCCTGATTTTTCAGTTGCTGCTCTGCATCGTGATGAGCTAAGCACTGCTGCTTTTAATGTGCTTTCTGCTGGCTGACTTTGTCTTCAGATTTTTAATCTGTATTCAGATTTTTAATCTGTATAGTCCACTGTCCCCTGTTGAAACAACCATCTAAAAGGCAGTTCCGTCTTGGAAAGATTACAAATAGGAATATTTGTAGTGGAGCTTCACATGTAGACAACTACTGAGTCATTGAAATCACCTGGATGGAATCACTGAACATTGCTTCACCTTGCACGATATGGCTTTGGGGGATTTTCTTTTTCTTGTGTTTTTGCAGCTTTGTTTTTTTTAGAACATGTCATTTACAATACTTTTACTGAAACTGAGAAACCACTACCATTCTTGACTGGGCCTTTGTTTCAGAAAGCTCATATAAGACAAAAACATGACCCAAAAGGTAACAGTGCTTCCAAGAATCGTTAATTTCCCCCTTCTGGACAGAGTCCTGAATAAACTTGCTCGTAAAGGCAGAATTTCAGGGGAAACTCCAACTTAGAGAGTCATCAGTGACTTGCAAGCCAAACAACTGTAAATGATGAATTAAGAGCAGTTTAAGTCAAATCTGCATGTGCATCCTACACTTTTTGTCAGCTGCTATTAGCTTTTATGTATTTTAACATTCTTTTTCCTCTCTGTTGTAAAAGAGCCACAAAAGTGCACAAATGTTATCAAGTGCACACGGTCAGTGGGATGGAAGGAAAATATGGAAGAACATGATATTCTATTACCACTTCTAGTCATCCTTGGCACATTAACAGAAAATGGGTGCAAGAAGGTTGAACATGTTGTTTTCTTATATTAATGCTATTCATACTTTAGTGCAAAGGCTGGTGCACTGGATTTTTACTGTCTCATGGAGTCTGTGATTACCTTAAAGGAAAATGCTGATTAAATTTTCTTTTTTTTTTCAACACACTTGGGTCTCCTTGCCCAGCAGCTTTAGTAATTGTCTCTTGTGGCCTGATCTAAAAATCTACTGGAGCTGCAGTGGGAATCATTTCATTGACTTCAGTAAGGTCTGAATCAGCCCTATGGGGAATGAAGAATGACTCTCCCCTAATCTCTTAAATTCTTCTCCTCTCTCGTTCCAGAGTGATTACAAAACTGGTGAGGAATAGTTTCTCTTAGTCTCGTGCTCTTCATCAATCTTGGGGTTTATTTTAGGCTATAAATCTCCCTAATCATGGATGCTTTCTTGTTTTCGTCTTGCAGTGTTTAGCCGGGGAAGGCCAAGCTGCATGTTTACTGCCCTTCTGCAGCTGCTCTTGTACTGAGATTGTTTATTTGCATAGTGCCTGTCTGCCGTGGCTCCTTAGGTATTTCACAATCAGAAAAGCTCAAAGCTCTTCAGTAGTTTTAAAGTTGGTAGGAGAACTGAACGAGAGTGTTCTGGGAAGGAGTCTATCAGCCTGAAAAGGCGACTTTTCCCTCCTCTTTTGTGAAAGCATCGCTGGGGGCAAGCACAATAATAGCAGCTTTCTGTGGCCATGTCTTGCGGCAGTGCATGCGCCGCTGCGTTGCTGGCAGAGCACGAACGTCCGCAGCGAGAGGCTGGCTGAAGGGTCCCGCCGTAGGGCTGGTAACGTGATCCGGGCAGCGGTTTCACAGGGCTGAGTTGTGTGTCTGTAGCCGTGGTGCAGGGAGCGCTGCGCCGTCCTGCAGCCGGAGGAGCCGCAGCTGCGTGTCGCTGTGGCTGCCGCTGCTGCAGCGCTGCCAAACAAGCGCTTAGCCCTGCGATGGGGCTCGCCGAGCTGCGTTGCTCTGCACTGCTCTCTGCGATCCCGGCGCTCCGCATGCTGTGCGTTTGCTGCAGGATGATGGAATTTTGGGGCTTGGAGTGAGATTTAAATTCCCATGATTCTTCTTATCTCGCATCCATCTGGCTTTTTGCAACCCGGCCAGCACCAGTTTCAAAACATTGGCAAGCACCGAGATGTTCATGGCGATGAATATAAACAGGCTGTTGCAAACATGTCTGAAGTCATGCAAAGTTTGCAAGACCAGGGCACTAAGGGCAGCCAGAGAGGAGACTAACATCGAGCAGACAGGATGCCTCTAGTCCCCTCGGCGCTGCTGGGGCAACCTTGCTTGCTGGAGTGTCATCTTTCTTGGGCAGCCAGTAATAACTAGTAGCAAGTTAGTTTGCTAGATGTCAGGTTGCAAGTTAAGGTAACCCTCCTCAAAAGCCCTTCTCAGAGCCTGCACAGACTGCCCTTCAGAGGCAGGAGGATAGTTATATTAAGACCTCGTGTGGCTCCATCTCCAAGGATGCTTCTTCAACCAGCTGCAGGTTGGGTGCTGAGGAGCTGCGCTGGTGGAGCCCTGCCTGGCAGACGCGGGAGCTGTTTGCTGCTGCCAGGCACGTGTGGGGCAGGGCAGTGCACAAGGGGTGTTGGGGAGCTCCTGGGATTTTGTTTGCATCACTCTCACTTTTTCCTGAAGCCCCTAAGTAGCTCCATAAGGAAGAGGACTTGTATGCAGAAGCCTGTAGCTGCTGCAGGAAGATCACCTGTATCAGTGCATCGCAGTCTGGCTAGATCACTTGGCAGATGAGAGGCAGGTTTGGTGGCTGCTGCTGGCCGAGGCAGGCACCCCACCATCCACCTTTACAGCAGCTGCGTGAGTTGCTCTTTGTAACCTTGTGCAAGGGATGGAGGGAGCCTGGTAGCCTGGTAGCCTCTGTCCTATAGCAGTTCAGAGCATTAAACAAATATTACCGTGGCTGGAGTACAGTCACTCATGCTGCTGCTTCGAGGATTAGGACAGTTCACGGAAGAATGTGTGTTGTGCTTTGTTTGGAATACGTCCCACATGTTAATGCTGTGATGTATAGCCTCTGTCCTCCCCTTGAGTGTGTGACTGGAGTTGTGAACATGCAAAAATGCTTTATAAGGGGGAGGGCTCATGGTTTGTACAAAAAGAGATGATTTCTAATAATAAACACATTTTGTGTGGGTGTTTTTTGAATTGTTTGTTTGCTTTGTTGCTTTGCTTTTTCTAAAGAAATGATTTATGAAAGATGGCAAGTATGTGTCCTCAGTGCGTGTCGGTCAGTGAGGGCTCCAGAGCAGCCCCGCTGCCGGCAGGGCAGCGTGCGAGCCCTCGCCGTGCCCGGCGCTCCCAGCTGTGGCCTCTGCAAGGGCTGCGCGGGCAGGGCCTCGCGCGGGATGCGGCGGCCGCCGCCGGGCGGGCAGGCTGACTCTTCGACCTCTGCTGCAGCTGTGTCTGTGAGGCCGCTTCTGCCTCGCCGGCCAGCCTTCAGGAACCCTTTCCTCCACTGCTCCGTCTCTTTATGCTCCCCATGGGATGCCCTTGTGAGCACTTCGAACATGTCGTCATCCCTGGAGCTCTTAATTTTCCTACGTAGATTGGACTAGTAGTTGCTTAATGACAATAGCAGCCCTGTCCTTAGTTGCCATGAGTTGTCAGCTGTTGGGGGGAAGGAGAAAATGCGCTATTGTAAGAATGAGGCTTTGGTGCCAACTGGAACAAAGGGCCTGGGTTGCCCCCCCTTCCCCTTTTGTTTCAGCATGCTGGTTCTTGCCAGCCATGGAGCCAGTGAATCATTTTCAGCATCTTCCGCCTCTGAAGGAGGGCGAATATTGGGCTACCTCTGAGAGAGGAGATTAGAAAACAGCACAAAGCAGACTGATGTCTGTGCCTGTTCTCGCAGAGCGCGTTGTGGCAAGGCAAAGCCGCAGTCCGTGCAGAGGCAAGGTGGGGTTTGTGTGCGTGTTGGTAAGGCTGCCCTGAGCTATCCCTTTGCAGCAAAGCATGAAGCTGAGATGTTACACAGTAGTGGAAGGAGACTACTGACTCCAGCTGTATGAGTCACTTTGAGAGAGGTTCTGTGCAATTTTCTTCACTAAATCAGGTTTCTGTTTTTTCTCTTCTACCTTTCCTAAGAACTGCAATCTGTATGAGCTACCTAACAAAGTTAAGTGAGACAGCGGTTCAGAAAGAGCTGTGTGAAACCCTGGTCATGCCTTGAATCATTTGTATTTTTGCCATCTCTGGCTATCTTTTTTTAATCCTCAGCTACATCTTTGCCACTATAGTTAGGCTTCTATTTCTGTCCTCTTAGTTTGTGCAACACTGCAGCAGCCTTTACTTAGATGGCCAGGTAGGGTGGAGGGGAAGAGAGATGGCTTAAAGAAAGATGGTGTAAGCAGGCACATAATGCGTGGCAGGAGGAGGCAAGTGAAGCAGTTGTTCTTGCTCATTAGTAAGGGGAAATGAAAAGGTTCCCACTTCTAGGAAAGCCTCTGCTTGGATTGAAAAGTTATGCATATCTTTACAAAGAAGGTGGGGGTAGTCTGGGTAAACAGGACAGCGCTTACAAGGCCCTGGAGCTAGGCTGCCTCAGTGATACATCTGGCAAGAGGAGCTGGGACATAATAGAAACAGTCCCACCTTTGACCCTGTGGTGCATGTTGTTTCTCTCTTCATCCCAGTGATCTGTTCTCTGGCTGAATATACCAAGGCTGAGGCTCAGTTTTGATGCTCTGCTTAGGAATTCCTAATGCAGGAAACCTGCAGTAGCACCAGGTTTCTTCAGTGACACAAATTGCAGCAATGGGTTTTATTACAAGTCCAGTTCAGGACGCCATAAAGCCTGGGTTTCCGTGAGTACTCAAATTATCTGCATCCCGTTGGCACTATTGTGTGAATAACCGTTTTAATGGATTTGTTCCTCCCAGTGGTAGGAGTTCAGCCGTGTCCTGCTGCACAGCCCTGCACAGAGGTCAGCGACACCGAAGGCCTGGATGCTGCTGTGCACAGAGGCACGAGCCACCCGTGCTCGCCCAGCACGTGAGGAGGCTGATCCAAAATACTCATGAGCTGGAACTGCAAAAGCAAATCCCATCCTGCACATCAGCTCTCCCTGCAAGGTGAGTTCCCAGCACAATGGTGGTGACACCGGGACACACATCGCAGCACACAAGGCACTGGGAAACTGAAGGATGACTGAACTCCCATCTCTTCCCTCTCACAGCAGCAGCAGCAGCAGCAAAACTTGCATTCACGATTTTTTGTTTGTTTGTTTGTTTTCTGTTGGATTTTTTTTTCCTGATCAACACATGGTAAATTATAGATATAAGTAAACCCTGAGACTCTAAAAGATGATACAGTGCAGGTTATGTAGTCTGGTGAAAGATTTTAAACATAAGTTATATTTAGGATTCATCACAAACTCTTTAGACTTTATGTAGTGTAGATTTAGGTCTGATTCCTAAAGCTATAATTTCTGCTTTTCTCTCCCTTAAGCCCCATTAAGTGTATACTATAGTAAATTGTGTTATGTTTGTAATACATTTGACTGACCCCTAGTGTTTAATGGAATTTCTTGTAAGGGAAGCATTTGAGCTGCACTGGGATAATGGATGGCTAGTCAAACTTGACTGCAGCTTGTGAGATGTATCAAATGTGAAGTCAAAGTGTGTGCACATGTCAGAAAGAAATTGTCCCTAGCAATGCAAATAGCTCCCTATTGACATATAAATTAGTCTTTTGCAGGAGAATTATTCAATAGGTTTATTCCAGGGATTATTCTATGGCTGCAGGGCAATCTGATCATCAGCAGAAGGATATCTGCGCTGCCAGAAACAAAGCTGCAAACAGCATAGGAATTTGAGAAAATGCTTTCGATGATGTATTGGTAGTGGATTTAAATACTGGTAAAATTGCAGAATGAATTAAGTATATTCCCACTGCTTATAGTATAAGGAAATCTGAGAAGATAATATTTTCCACTGATGATGATAATAAATGAGATCTCTGTTAAGTAGTTAAAAATCACTTGAGCCAAAATTCCATAAAAATTGGCAGATAAAATATGGGCAGTTTTTCTTGAAAACTGGCAAGAAAGTGAACTGAAAGAGTGTTACTGACAATCTCTGTGTCTAACTCTGTTTCCAATGCTGCTGGGAAAAGCCAGGAGGCACCCAAAATGATGAAACTCCACAAGGAATTGAGGTGACTGCTCTCTTCCACCCAGCACGTTGCTCAGGGCGGCTCTGTCAAGGCTTTGGGACGCCGTGCCCAGCCACCTTGTGCTGGCCTGCAAGGGACGGCGACTCTGGCTGCCCCCGGCCATGGGGGACGCCCTGGCCCTTCTCCCAGGCCAAGCTGGGGGGCTGCTGGCCCCGGGGCTTCAAATGCCTCCAACCTGCAGCCCACACACAAGGAAACACCATCCCCTTGGTCTGTTGGCACCTTCAGTGTGGGCAAGTGAAGCCTCTTGGTTTCTCTCAGAAACCTGTGGAAGTTCTTGTGATTTCCAAAATGAAGTGTTTTCTCCATCTAGTGGGGGTACCTTTGCCACTTCTGTTTCTGTGTGGGAGTAAGTCTTTCAGGAGGAGGGAAGCTTTCAAATGTGCTTTGACATTCTCTAGATACTTATTTATATTATATATAAAATAAAGATATCTCTAAAAGCAGAGCATGTATTTAGAGATGAGACTGAAGCCAAATCTGTCTTGCCTGTTTTAAGCCCTGCGTTGTCCCTGTCCCTTTTCAGGCAGCAGATATGCAGACAGAGCCAGCTGCAGAGATAAGTTAACCTCTTTGCAAGCAGAATGATAAAAACCTCCCGATCTGAACTCCTGCAGACTTTGAGCACTTTTGATCTAGATCTAAACTTCATGGCCCAAGCCTGTTTCTAGCACTAGTGCAGATAGCTAAACCACTACAGCAATCACAGCTGAGCGCTAGAAAATGGAAGAAGTGAGTCACATGAGGGAGATGAAAGCCAACTCTAAGTGCTGTGATTATTCTATCAAAATGACTGCTATAAACACATCTTTAAAAAAATCCTTAGCTAAACAATACCATCAGGTGATACTAACTGGTGACACTTCCTAATCTGGGATTGTGAACTGGCTGGTTTATGTATCCTTTGTAGCAAACTGCCAGGAATAGATAGGTAGCTGGACTCGCCAGGCTCGGGGCTTGCTGAGGTATGAGACACGAGCAGTGGAAAAAAGACTTAAGGGCTGCACCGATGAGTTGTTACGCAAAATGATCCGTGCAGGCAGATCTGTGGAAAACAAGCGGAGTCTGTGTGTGCTTGTGCTTAGAGTGAGTACTCCCACAGGCTACCTCAAGGACAAAGCCTTGGCGGCCCCCAGGAAAGGGCTGAGGCAGCACAGCGGGAAGGGGAGCGCAGGAAGGTTGCCCACCAGCCTGCCCACCTGCACTCGCTGCCTCTGCTAGAGACTGGCAGAGCAGGAGGGCAAAGAGCTCCACACTCACGTGCCGTAGCGGACCGGGAGTGTGAGACCAGAGCTGTAGCACTGACAGCCTGCTCTGTACTCGGGCTTAGCAGGAGGTAACATCAAACAACATCTTGTAATCCAACAAATTCTCTATTGCTCAAACAGGAGGTTAACCTGTAACCCTAGGGGGGAGTTTGAAACTCTGTTCCCTGTACCTGTGTTAGCTGCAGCCACAAGTTTATTACAGCCTGTAAAACCTGGACAGAAATCAGAATATATTTAGGGGACCTCAATTTTGGGTCATTTCTATATCTTTCCTTGGGATGGTAGTTTGAAACTTGCTTGCACATCTCTGCACAAACTACAGTTTCATTGCTTAAGCTGCAGTGTAGCTGTAAGAGGCAAAACTGCAGTTCGGTTAACTCTAGAGTCTGCTGTGATCTGGTTCTACTGACATGGCTCATGCAGTTTTAACTAGCAGGAAACAAAACCAAAAGTCCTGTTTTTTAGCCTTTTTTAGACCTTGTCCTCAGCTGGTTACCGAACCCTTCTGCTGTGCTGCATTGGTTGCTCTTGCAAGTAGCGCAGGTACTGACTTCAGCAGCTCTAGTCCTGCACTTATGCAGAAGTCAGAGGAGCCTGTCTTTCTCAGTTCAGTGATTTTGTCTCATCCATTCAAAGATTACAAGAACAGGAGAGACTTTTGTCATGTAAGTGATTTTTGTCACAAGAGCAAGAGAATTAGAGCCTAAAGAGTCCTTTTAAAATGACACGATGACATAAGGTACCTGGTCCCACCCTTCTTGGGTGTTCTTGGCTCCACTGTCCTTGACCTGAGTAATTTCAGTACTATTGGTTCTGAGTAATTTTGGTTTTGTTCCTGCATGTCCTTGTGAATATGAAACGATGTTTCTATTGGCAATAGTTAGTTCTCCATCCACCCATGCCTCCTGAAATATGGTAAAAACAGTGAATGGATGCTCAGTTTTTGACTTTTCAAGCGTGTGACTGTGTATTTTTTCACTGAAGTAGATTTAGAGCATCATTTGTTCTTTTATATGTTCATGCTTCCATGCTAAAAGAAGGAGCTAGATGTCTTAAGATCTGGGTCTGGACTTTGAAGGTTTATCAGTGTTTGGATTTGAAAGTTTAGTTGATGCCACTTGTAAATCCAGATCCAGCTTCTGTAACTTGAGTACTAATTGTATGAAATCACTGGGATCTCTGCCATGCCTATAAGGGCGTTACAAATTCATACTCATAATTTCCCAGGTTTGGGATTTAGCGCTTCTAGTTGAACCAGCTTCAAGCAGGGAGAGGCAGGTTGCTAATGCGGTTAACTCTCTAGGGATAATTTTTCTTTGTCTGTTCTCATTTCTGTGAATTCCACTTTGGAATTAAAAGTTTCTCAGACATAAGAAAGCAAGAAGGGTTCCTAAGGGTTCATGAGAGGCATCTCTTTGGCCTTCCTATGCTCTTCAAGTTCCTCTGGGAAATGAGTGAGAGTCTGGTTACATATTGTCACAGTATGCCATTTTTAACCTTATATTGTTTAAAAAGTTTAAAACATTTTCCTGAGAAGAATGAATCTCCCAAGAAGTATGTGTGCTGCAAATAAAAAGGCCATTAGGTGCTGCAAAGTTCAGGGGAGGTGTTTCCTGGCAGATCTGTAAGCACAGCCTGCCATGTTTTGAGTTATGGAAGGGTATGTATGTTGGGTTCAGATTTCACAACCTTTTGTCCATTGCAAAGGCTTTAATCCTTTGTCCCCTATGTGAAATGCTGAATCACTAGATTCATAACATCCAGTGGTGTTAGTGGTAAAAACAGCTATGTTTTTTTGTCTAGGAGTAAAGCAAGAGGTTGCCCTCTTGCTGTTCTCCTAGAACCAAATGAAAACCTGCTCATGCATCTCCTGCACTCCTCTCTGTGGCCTAGAAAAGGGGCTAATGCTGCAGCTCTTCAGGGGGATGCCCAGCTCCCCAGTAATGGGGGCGTGCAGGGCCTAGCAGCCCTTCCCCGTCTGCATGGCAAGTATCTGCTCTGCAGCATCCTCAGCTCTCACTTCTGTCCAGCTGTGCCTAGGGGCAACTCTCCTAGTGTGTGCTAGAATGCTGCTTTTGACTGCGTAAGTGCTGCAGGGTAATCGTCCTTTAATGAGAGTCTTGCTGTGTGCTGGCTGTAGGGTAGAATTGCTCCTGCATGCCTGACCTGAAGAGCAGCGATGCTGTTTGCAAGTGGGCTGGAGTGACAGTCCTGTGTGTGTCCTTCACCTGAGTCTCATGGCTGCTTCCACCTCCCCCTGCCCTTAAAAGTAAGAGACAATATCAGAGAAAAGAAAACTCTGAACTTTTTGCCAAGGTTACATAGTAGTTAAATGATAAAAAAAGGAATGTATATTCTTAAGTAGGCCCCGGCTTACTTGACTTGTTGAAGTCTTAGGACCTATGATCCCGTGATAATCAGACTATGAAGTGGAGTTTGGAATTTTTAGTATGTATCCATGTTATTTTGGTTGGAGGTTTACTTCACAGCTCTGCTGCTTTTACATGACCTTGAACAAATCCCCAAACTCCATTGTTCTTCAGTCAATACTCAGTGAAACTGAGAAAATCTTGCTGTGTCCTTGCCTGGGAGGGTTAACGTGCGGCTTGTTTGCAGTGTGTTGTATGATC